CTACTTCCAGCAGCGCCACCTGTGCAATTTCACTTGATCATCTTCACAACACTAGGAAGACCGAAATGATCTGGATGCCAAACTTCTCTCCTTTTCCCCTTCAAGCTGATGCTATGGACTCAAGACCAGGCTGGGCTTTCCTGGGTAACCCAGGAGAGGCAGGGAGCAGGACCAATCCTTGGGAGCCCACTGAGCTATGACAGCCAAAACTTTCACTGGCTGTTTGAATGGGTTGACTTAGAATCCTCAGCAGTACATAAGCATTCCAGGAAAAGCATCTACTGGACAGAAAACCAACTCGGAAAAGGCTGAAGGTCTCACACCCACCAAACAAGCAATCCAGTTGTCCTGCAAGGGTTTTCTGCTCTTCTTCACACCTCACCCAAAGGAGCAGGGAAGAAAAGAAGATTTCTGAATGTCTGCAAATCCAAACCCAATGTGGAATCCTACGCCCAGTACGTACTGGTGATATTTACTTCTTTTTAAAAGAAATCTAGCTCTCCTCTTTCCCAAAGCCCAGCAGGCTCCAAAGCACAAAAATCTAAGGACTTTTGCAAACAGTGAGAAAACTGAGATTTTAACAAGATGTGAAATTCCAAGCTTTGGGACCCATAGTTACCAGCCTTCACCCAGAGTCCACTCAACCACCTGGCAGCATGAAAAGTTGTGCGGACCCTACTTCAAAAAGACACCTGCACCCCAATGTTCATAGCAGCACTATTTACAATAGCCAAGACATGGAAACAGCCTAAATGTCCATCGACAGATAACTGGGTAAAGAAGATGTGGTACATTTATACAATGGAATACTATTCAGCCATAAAAACCGACAACATAACGCCATTTGCAGCAACATGGATGCCCCTGGAGAATGTCATTCTAAGTGAAGTAAGCCAGAAAGAGAAAGAAAAATACCATATGAGATCGCTAAATATGTGGAATCTAAAAAAAAAAAGAACATAAATACAAAACAGAAACAGATTCATAGGCATAGAATACAAACTTGTGGTTGCCAAGGGGAGGGGGGAGGGAAGGGACAGACTGGGATTTCAAAATTTGTAGACACTGACAGGCATATGCAGACTAGATAAACAGATTATACTGTATAGCACAGGGAAATATATACAAGATCTTGTGGTAGCTCACAGCGAAAAAAAATGTGACAATGAATATATGTATGTTCATGTATAACTGAAAAATAGTGCTCTACACTGTTATTTGACACAACATTGTAAAATGACTATAACTCAATAAAAATGTTTAAAAATATCACTTTCTACTTAACTAGTCTATGTACACTGTACAGGTTGGATTATATTATTTGAATTTGAATAAACTAACTCAATATTCTTCTGGAAAAAATAAATAAATAAATTAATTAATTAATTAATTAAAAGAAATCTAGCTCTACTCTTTCCCAAAGCCCAGCAGGCTCCAAAGCACATAAATCTAAGGACTTTTGCAAATAGCGAGAAAGCCAAGACTTTTAACAAGATGTGAAATTCCAAGCTTTGGGACCCATAGTTACCAACCTTCACTCAAAGTCCACTCAACCACCTGGCAGCATGAAAAGTTGTGCCACTTATACAGCCCCCTGACGTTTTTTTGCATTCTAAAATTACTCCGTGAGTTTTGGATCATTAATACTCAGTGTGTTTTTGAGGTGGAAAGAACTTTTAGAGAAAAACCCTTTCAGTGTGTAGATGAGGTAGCTGGGGCCCCACAAAGGGGTAGGATTCCCCATGTCCCGTGGAGACCAGTTCCGCCCTGATGGACAAGCTCAGGCTTCCTGCCTTCCTTTCTGGGGACTCCTCCCGCTCCACATGGTACTTCTCAGCTTCCTGAGTGTTTCTATCTGGCATCTCCCTGGCAAATTGTCATCCCCTGTGGGTTGGCATCTAGGGCAGCCAGGGAGAGGGGCTGGTTTTCTTCTTGACTCCACAAGAGTGGGCAGAGGTGAAAAAGGGTCCACGTCACCCCCCAGGGGTCAGGAGGAAGCCGGGGGAATGCCTCAATGCCACCCCTGGGGGTTAATGTCTTGCTCTTTGGATAAGCATCCTTGGTATCTCTTGTCCTGGATCTCAATGAAGATAAAGTGGATAATATATATAAAGTTCTTGGAAGCGAGCCTGGAACACAGCACTCAGCAAATGTTCATTACTATTATTGTTACTGTCCTTGCTGTTGATGCTCTGCTGATAAGGGTATTCAGCTAAAAGATGCTATTTGACCTTCCTAAAAATCACAAAGCTAGCTGGTGACTGTCAGGTCTATGTGACTCCTGAGCCCAAACTCTGGCCCGCCGCCCTGATTGATGATGCCTTAATTTGGTCTTTGGCCAGGCGGGTCTGAGCCTCCAGCCTGAGTGCTCTCACTGGTCGTACATCCTCACTTGGACCTGGGCACTAAGCACAGCCTAAGGAGCTACAGGCCAAGGGCCCGGCTGGCCTGGCCGGAGCAGGAAGTTTCAAGGAGGAGGGTGCTGGATGTTCCAGGCTGTGAAAGGAGGGGGCTGGTGGCTGATAGAGCCTGCGGGGTGGGATCTGAGCACGGCAGAGCTGGGACCCGGGGCCGGGGCTGCGGTGCAGCTGGCGACCCCTCTAGCCCAAACGTCCACAGATGAGGAAACCAGGTAGCTGGCTCCCTCGCCATCTCATCGTGAGAAATCTGGAGACCCAGGGGATCCTTTCTTTCGGGACCTCCCCAAAGATAAGGAATCAAGTCACAGGGCTTTTGCAGATGGCAGGCAGTCCATAAATATCATTTAAGGGCACTGCGAGCAGGCTGCAGCCAGCCGCACCGGTCCAGGGAGGCAGGCTCGTCGGGCGCGCTTTGGAGAAATCGTTAGAGGAAAACTAGTCCAGATAAATGCCTGCTCTCAGCATTGCGCTATTTCCCAGAATAGCACAGGGGAAAAGTTTGCTTCTAAATGAAGGCTGCCCTTCTCCAGTCCTGGGTGGATGTTAATGAGCTCTAATATTGTTTTAAGGTGCTGAGAGAGACGAAGTGCAAAACCCCGGCTTGTGGGGGAAAGAGACCTGGTTTACCACTTAAACTGTGAAGAATGGGAGCCATTCAGAGTTTCAAGGGCTGGCAGGGTCGTGCCTCCTTTCCCCTGGGAGGGTTTTTTTTTCCCTGCAGGTATTCAGGCTGCAGAAGGCACAATTACTGGGTAACACGGCTGTGCTGTACGCGTGTGGAAATAAGCATTATATCCAGTCCTGGGCACAGCCTCATTTCCTTACAGTGATAACACTGGGAATGGAAAAATAACTCACTCATCCCCCACCCAACCTCTCTCTCTAAAAAAAGAATCCATGTCACACTGGAGTGAGTACAGGAAGGGGCAGCAGACACGCAAAGATCGTGCTTGAGCAGAAGGAATGATTTTGAAGGTTACGTTAGTGCTAAAGCTTACAAGAGTTCTTCAGGTTCTGAGAGTCAGAGGTTTATTTTTCACGATGTAGGTAAAAGACTTTGAATAACTGTGTTTCCCCTTTAAGGCAAAAAGAGGGCCTACCCTGGTGTCAGTGGTGTGGCACTGGGGAGCCAGGGGCCACAAGCCCTCCCCAGCCCTCCCCCGTCACAGGCTGTTCCTCCAGTTTATAACTGAATATCATACTGGAATGACCCAAGTTCTGGAGAAAAGTTTTTTGGGGGACCCATTCAAAGTGTGAGAGCGTGGGAAAACTTACAGTATGTGAAATCAGACAACTATGGATGTGCTGAAATATAAGTCCTGGTCTCATTTTGGTTGATGAAAGCACAACCATCCCACTATTTCTGACCGAGTAGAAACCCTTTTAAATGGCACTTTCCAAGCACCATCTTGGGCAAAATGGAGCTCCATTTTTCTGAGAAGGGGTGGGGCCATCTTCTAGTCCCAGTGGGGAGCAGGTCACTCCGTCTACGCACAGACTGAGTTCTGGGCTCTTCTCCAGATGGGCGAGAACCATGTTCCATGTGTGTAAACGAGTCTACTTGCTGAAAGCAAGCCCTTGGGGTGAGGACTGATGGGGGCACCACAGGGGAAGGCAACAGACTCGCGTTTCACACAGAGGAGCAGAGCCGGCAGGCCCCTCAGAGGTCACTTGGTCTAGTCACTTCACCAACAAGAACACCAAAGCCCAGAGATGAATGACAGAGGCGCGCCCCAGGTCACAGGAGCTGTTTTGTGGCAGAGCCGGGATCCAAAATCATCTCTGAGTCCTTCCCCAGGTTTCAGAATATCTTGCCCAAGGTGACTGACAAATAAGAACCATCTTTAGGAAAAGACAGCCCCTCCATTTGGTAGAAGCTCACTCATTCGCCATTGCAGGGTTTGAAAACCATAAAGAAGGACTGAAAGTCAATGCTCAGACTAGGAACCATGCTTGACACAGTTTCCCACCTAAGGCAAACGCTTGAGGGTGGTGCCACCCTTGGGTTCTTCTATCAGCCGTTCACTTGGAAGATGCATCAGTGGGGAGTCAGATTCACCTACAGAGCTACCCGCCCCCATCGGCTTGGCTTTTCTCCCTGGAATTCAGGTTAATTCTCAGAGACAATGACCCACAGTGAGTTGGATTTAAGGCCTCAGATGAGGACTCTAAACGACATCCCCCTTCCCACAGTGGTTTTTCAGAAGGGTCATCTGAAGAAAATCCACTGCTACCCTGGGAGAAGGAAGATGGGAGGGAGGGAGGGAGGAGGAGAGGGAGGGGAGACAGGTTAATAACAATCAGAAGTTTCACGGGAAAAGATGAATGACTCACGGCTCTTGTATCTTCCCCTTGATGTATCCAGGGCACAGTATAGAACTATCATTTTAGAGATGAAGCTTGAAATTCAAACAAAGGAAGTGACTAGCCCAAGGACACACAACTCATCAGCTGTGGGTCCTGAACTGGAACCCAGGTCCCTTAACTGCCAATTCAGTGTCTTCCTCCCTAGTCTCTGTTCATTCAGACTCCAGTGGATGTCTGAAGAGTCTACCTCTCTGGTTTTGTCTTTCCAACCAGGTTGCACATACTTTAATGGTCAAGACTCCTCGGCATCTCTCCTATCTCTCAGCACTGGGCCCAGCACCTTGTGGGAATGCAGACTGGTGAGTCAGTTAATGGAATGTCTATCATCACTCAAGCCTTGGAAATGGCCAGGGTGGTCCTTTTGCCTTCTCCGACCTCGCTGGGCATCAGCTCGTCCTCTGAGATCATTCACTACTTTACAGACCCCAAGGGCTGTTGTCCTCCAATCTCCACCATCCCCATCCTATACCTCCCCTTTCCTCCTGCCTTTTCCTATTGGAATCTCTCAGCTTAGGTTGCTCCAAACTTGGATCTGGAAAGAAAGTGCACAGACCAACTCCATTCATCAAGGTGTCAGGTACTTGGCACCACCAGGACTTCCATTTTAGAGAGGCATCCCCGAGGGGCGACGCTGCACCCTCTTCACTTATGGGAGAATTTCTGGCAGCAGATGGGCAAGAACTAAGGGGCAGAAGGCCTTCCTGAAATCACAGCCCATAGGTGACTGGCCATGGTGTGCCGGTGAACGGCTGCTTCAATAGTCCCAATCAGGATGCCTGATCCTTTCTGCTCAAAGAAAGCATAGGAATTTCAAATGAGGCCATTTGGTGACCATTTGATCAGACTTCTTTTCCTTTTCAGAATCATGAATCAGTCATGCACACCTGACGTTAAAACAAGATTTGATTTCCTGAGGACTTTCTGTGAAGTCCTCTTGTTCCCCTGCCCCACTGCCTTCCTTTTATCATTCAGAAGTCAAGGTGTCACTAGAAATGCACGAGGGGAGAACACAGCGACCTTCACCTTCTTCACGGTGAGAAAAATGTGTTGACAGTTGACATGCGGGCAGGTCCATTTTGGACAGGAAACTGTGACTGCATTTCAATGTACCAAGCATAGCTCAGGTGACAAGTGACTCACCTCGGAGGTTCTTAAATCATTTGAAAGATTTTGATGTCTCAGTTCATTTTCAAGGATTAAAAGCTATTATGCCAAACCTTTTTGAAGATATAACATTCTCTTTGTCCTGTTCTTCTAAAAAGTTCTCTATGGCAAAGTTGTGGGTTTTTTTTTTTAACGAAGCACATTTTCATCATCTGTCATTAGATCCTTACAGCTTGCCTGTGAAATAGATAGGTCCAGTCCATTTCATAGATGCAGGTATTGGTGCACAGAGGTGAAAGGTCACAGAGCTAGAGAGTGATCAAGTTACAGATGCCTGAAACCCATGTCTGGACATCCAGATTCATGTTGCTATGCCACGCCATTTTTGCTCATTTATTTGAGAATGAGGAGTTTTGCGTGAAGAGATACAAAGCTTTCTGCAACACCCTAATAGGATGGGCCACCAGGGTCAGCTCTGTGGGGTGGCAGAATTTTCCGGGGTACTGAGAAGCAGAGTTCTCCCCCCTCACAATTGGCACAGAAACCACAACGTAAGGTTTATTCCTTTGGTTTAAGGCTCTGCCTCCTAAATGAACTTATTTACAAAACAGAAACAGAATCACAGACCTAGAAAACAAACCTATGTTTACCAGGGGGGAAAGGGGGTGGAGACGAATAAATTAGGAGTTTGAGATTTGCAGATATTAACTACTATATGTAAGATAGATACACAACAAGTTTATGTACAGCACAGGGAACTATATTCAATATCCGGTAGTAACCTGTAATGAAAAAGAATATGAAAATGAATATACATATGTACATGGATGACTGAAACATTATGCTGCACACCAGAAATTGACACAACATTGTAAACTGACTATATTTCAATTTAAAAAAAGGCTCTGCGTCCTGTGTGTGGGGGTGGGGAACAGAGAAAAGAGGGATAGAGGGTCATAAGCCACTAAGATTTGTCAGTCATTTAGATGGCAGAGGGTCTAAATCACCTCTAAGATATCTCACCTATAAGTTTAATACTCAGATCCCACGTTGGAGCAGGGTGTGTGTGCAGGGCATGTAAAGAGAGGGGCACCAAGTTTTGAGGAAGGAACAGGAAACTAAGAAGGAAAACTGAGGACACCACAGGCAAACTTGGCTACTTTAGAAATTTTCTGGGGCTAAGGACCCATCAGGAATCTCTGGTTTAAAGTAAATGTGAAAGCAAAGATACAAAGGGTAAAGCGCAAGGCTTTGCAGGGGAAATTAGCAGACTGATTTTACTTTGAATAAGGTCCAGCATTTATCACTAAGTTACCGGTCCAGACGTATTATCCATCCAATCAGCACTCCCCTGCACAAGCACTCCCTCGCTCTGAGCCAACCAAACTCTTCCTCCCTGTGTCTCACATTTGCCTTTGCTTCTGCTGGTCCCCCAGGCACAACAGTGCCTGCTCCTCTCTACCTGTCTCTCCAAATTGGTCTTCTCAAGGCTTCCCTCCTCTGATACCCAGAGCTGAAGCAGCCATGCCTTCCTCGAAGCCTCTAGAAAGGGTTACCTTGATTTCTCCCAGAGGACCCTGTTCATCTGACTTTGCAATGCTGGTGTTCATTTCCAAGTTTGCTCTTCCTCCCAAGGCTGTGGCCGACGTGGAAAGAGGGTCCTCTTTATATCGCCTCTCCTCTCTGCCCTGGGACCTAGCTGGCTCCGAGTCTTGAGAAACAGTCAGCCATTGATAAATGCTTTGTACTTAAGAGCTCCGTCTCTGGAGTCAGAAAGTTCTGGAAGGAAGCCACAGCTATGTAACCTTGTGCAAATTACTTAACCTCTCTGTCTTGGTTTCTGCAGACACCCATTTCACGGTGTTGTGATTCTTCAATGAGATAATTCATGTAAAATGCTTAGCACGATGCAGGGCACCCGGTATGCATGCCACAATGATTTGCTATTAATACTATTTTTCTCTTAATGAAACGTGCCGTCCTCTTGGGCTCCCTTTATCAATCACCCAGCAGAGACATTATCTCACAAACAAAGGGGATCGTGTTAGGAGGGTTTGTTCAATGCCCTGGCTCACACTATATTTGCAGCAACATTTACCGTAGCAAAACGCAGGGAGAGACAGGAACTGGTTTCAACTTGAATCCACTATTTTGGGGGTCCATATGCTGAATGCCGCCGAAGCCTCCACTCCCCGAGCGGCGGTTTGTAGAGATGGAATAGCGGCAGTTTTTCATTTTCCAGAGTCCACTCACCCTTCCAAGAATCTCAATGCCTCATTGATTCATAATACAGTGCATAAAGATTTCATTTTTCCTGCCCACAGTGATACATTATGGAGGCAATCTGTTTTGCCACTGAAAAGTTTGCTTAGTAGAAAAATTTGGAGTTTTGACATTCAGGAAATTACAGTCATCTGTAAAACACGATTGATATGCCAAGGCTAACATTTTCATTGCACTCGCAGAGCCAGAATAACTATGATAAAATATGTGTTACCCCACACACGTTTCAGGATCTCTTAAGGAAACATTCGTTAGCTCTGAGAACCCCTCCCAAGGCTCCAAGGCTGCGATGGCTGTGCCGGCCAGCTGTGCACCCTTCACGAGGATAACACCGCTGACCAAGCCACGACTCAGGCTCTCAGAGAAAGCAGTGGCCCCCCACGTCTTCTGATTTGGCCTGGGGGCGGAGGCTGGAGCTACGTTTTCTCAGTGTCACCAGGTTAAAGACATGAAAGAAAATCAAGGAAAATGAGTTTTTAAAAAGTCCACCCCTGTGGTGGAATTGTTAGCCAGCCATGAAAGGCACAGGTGGATATTAGGTAGAACATGAAGCTGAAGGCTTGCAAAAGAGAAGTTAGACTGTTCTATATCTGCTCACAGTTTAAATTTGCTCTATATTTATACCCAAGCATTTCTTTGTCTCTTTCTGGGTACAATTTCCAGTGTTAAATGGCATCAGAAACCCAAGTCTCTGGAGCTATCCACCTGTTCAGCTTTTGATTTCAGAATGATAAATGCAGTCAGTTTAGCTGAGGAGGGTGATCTCCGTGGCCCCATTGAGGGAGCTGTCCATTCAGGTTTGGCTGAGTCATGGGCAGTTTTCACTTGGTCCTCATTCATTGAGACCCATGGGAAGTACACATGCAAACGGTGTGGTTCTGGGGGCAAAGGGACAGGTGCCACTGCCCTTGACACTGGAAATGGCTTTGAGTGATTCCCTGCCCAACCCCAGGTCAGCTTCTTTAGGTACTGAGAAAAGCATTCTGCACAAAACATGGAAGTCAGCCTCGCGGATCAAGCCGTCTACGAAGTCCTGCACAAACCCATAGTCAGTTACAGCAAGTGCTCCGTGAGCCTTTACTACGTGCCAGGCATGAGTCGGAGTGATTAACACGGAGTAATGCATTTAGTCACTATCACCACCTGTGAGGCAGGTGATAGTACTGTCGTCCTCTTTTATGGATGAAGAAACTAAAGCACAGAAAGGTTGAGCAACTCTCAAATTCACACAGCTGGTAAGAGGTGGCGCTGGCATGCTAGCCTCTAACAGGGTGGCTGGAGAGCTCCTGCTTTTACCCTTGATGCTATATTGCCTTGCTTAAATTATTTTTTTAGAGGAGGGGAGCCTTCTCTTGTCCTCCTGAAGCTCTTGATAACCTCCACCTTTTTTTTTTTTACATTTACAAAGCGTTTTCCTCCTGCTCTGAGTTAAGCTTCTTGCAGCTAAGAACTTGGCTTCATCCATTTCCTAGCAGTGCTTGCACAGATGTTAGAGGGGCAGAACTAAAGCCCCTCTAAGGGTTGGGGAGGAGGAGAGAAGGGTGCCAGAGACACAGGCAAAAGCACGCCTACTCCAAAGCATTTGGGCCCTCCAGAGGGCGAATCTGAGGAAAAGTGATTTCTCAAAAGGGAGTGAAGGATCCACTTGCCCTCCCTGCCCCCAGTGGGCTTAGAGCTTTGGGAAGTACTCATCTTCAGGGTTCTTGGGTCTGACTGCTCCCCTCTGAGCCTTATTTAAAGTGACTTGGCAACTAGGACAGGACTCATCAGAAGACTAGGATGAGAGGAAGCAGAGTTAGAGGAAGGAGAAGACAGAGAGGAAGAAAGCAGGATCAAAGGGATGGTGAGGAAAGGAAAGGATGAAGGGGGAGCAGAGAAAAGAGCAGAGAGGAAAAAGAAGAATAAAAAGGAA